ATCTGAGAAATGTATCTGAACATATTTGCTACTAGCAAAAACTGAAACAATTTACTTCAATTAACAAGTACATACAGCTGGTCTAAAAATTAAAAGAGAGAAGCTGTCGTGTTTCTATCTTCATTTACAATAACGACGCGCAGTGATGATTCTCGAATGACGCGGAGCCGTCGCGTCGGCGATGTTCTCGCGGTTCACCGCGATGTTCGATCGTTAGGCTAGGATGCGACGGCAACGACGAACGATCTGTCATTGTTATTGTTCCTTTTTCCCGTCATTTTTCGAGGCGGTGCGACGTCGCGCGCGGCTCGCCGCTCTTCCTCTTTTCTAGCCGGGCTCGCGGCCAACTGACCATAAGGTAGTGGTGATTAATCTTGCCAAGGGCATGCTCGACGTTCCTTGCATTCGAAATTCGGAACGTGTAGTCGCGTGTACGTGCGCGCGTAACCTGTGTATCCCGAGCGAAGAGAAAACAGGCGCGACAGAAGGAGGGAGAGAGAGAGAGAGAGAGAGAAAGAAAGAAGACAAAAGTGGAAAATAGTAAAAAAACGCAGCGGGACGCGCGTTTTAGTTCTGCCGGATATACGCAGCAATAATTTAAACGAAAAGTGGAAACGCCTTATGAACACATTTGATTCAATTTAGATGGGATCTCAGGGCCTCAAAATAAAATCTATTTTTTAAACGCTTCTCTAAATTAGGAAAAGGAAAAAGGAATAATATGATGTACGGTGAATGGGTAATGTTCGCTAATATTTCAAACGATAATCACAAGTCTTCTTTCAAAATTTCTATTTATTACCGAAGTACGATCGTCTCGCTACACAATCTCGATCGGTGTTCGATAAATCTGTGACTCGGTCTATTTTTCCTGGAGATCTAATAACTGTCCGCAGGTTTGTTCTCAGATCTCTGAAGTCTCTATCGGGCGATTTAATCGTCCCGCGTCGCACGATCTGACTAAACTTTTACATATATTTCTTTAAACTTCATCTATCCCATTACACTATTAATTTTCAGCATTAAACGGAAGTGATCTAATTTTGATGATTCAGCGTCGCTTCGCGAAATAAAAATATTATTCGTAGATAACTAGTCGCGTTGATCTGCCATGTGTTTTAGTTATAAATGTACGCGTAAAAAACCAAAATAATGGTAAAATCACTGCCCTCGCGTAAAACGATGGAAATTTGAATGTGATCGTGGCGCGATTAAATGTGCGGCATTGTTGTGTCTTGCTGTTGGCAATTGTATTAAAGTATTGTGCGGCGCAGAAATCGCGTTCGGTAAATCGAAAATCCGCGTTCCCTGCACTTTATTGGAACTATATATCGCTGCTTGTTTATAATTTTCAATAATGTATTACTTGTGCAGGACACAGACTGCGCGCGCGGCCGTTGATAAATTGGTGGCAATGAAGCAATGTGTTTTCACTGCTCAATAGCGGTCTTTCCAATCGTGAGAGAGTTATTAAATTCGTCGCGTATTTGTAACGCGCAACAAAGCGCTTTGCGATCAAAGTACCACGTCGCGTGTAATTAATAAGTTAAAAAAAAGTGCAACTGCCACGCGAAATTGTTTTGAAATCAGACTAACGAATAGTTCAAGTTTTCAGATACTTTCGAAGTAAAATCCAGAATTCCCGATACTGTCTTTAATACATCTTATTATAAGTACAATAACTAACTTTTCAAGTATATGTTGAAGACAAGTTAGATGTATATCCCCAAGGTTGCACACTTTGTGCTAATTAATGTTTCCGTTCTCATTAAAATTGAAACTGAGTTTGGAGAAAGCCCGACGGGAAGAATGTTATACCGAAGCCGCCGGCAATATAATGAATATGCATTCGACGCGGTCGAGAAACGACATAAAAAAAAAAAGTGTAATTATATGAAGAGCGACTTAATCCACGTCGACGTTTCGACAGGAACTTCGCACTTGCGTAACACTCAAAGTTTCATCCACTTTGATAAGAAATAATGACGCAGCGTTACATAAACGTCGCGTTGCGGCCAGTTCGTAACCAATCCGAAATAATATCAGTGGACACCTTTTTTTTTCCTCTCGATCCACGATACCGCAATCATGGTAAACAATCGTCTCATTCCGCTTGGTTTCAATGTTTTCGACGGCCACTCATCGCGCGTAGAATCCACGTGAAAAATATAACGCGCCGTGTTAAAAAGTGTCGCGGTTAAATAACGCCGGCCCGTCGCGCCAGGTCGGACATTTTCGTTACCGGTTTACGAATAAAAATCAAAATACGTCGGGTGCGCGCGCGTAAGTGTTCGATAAAATTCGATTTGATCGCGTCGGACGGATTCGGTGCTCCGGGATGTGTGTTTGATAAACGAACAAAATACTAAACGTCACTGAAGTTCACTAGCGCTTTCGTTCGGTAATACGGTAAATTTTGGCGAATCTAGCAATTTCCTGAATGCATTAAAACGCGTAAAACTATCTCGCCGTGTGAAGTCCCATCGACGTTTTGCGCCATCGGTTTTTCGCCCGTTGGCGAAAGTCCGTGCGATACGAATACCGCGAATATATTTTTAATTGTAGCCACATACGATTGTGAGATGCATTACGTCTTGCGTAATATATTTCGAGACAACGGCGGGACGGCGTTTAAAATATTTTAAATAATGCTAAAAAGATAAAAAGAAACGATAAGAAATCGTATCTGAAATAAGCGCTCTTGCAAATCTGTCATAAAAGCATGCGGTATATTATTATCGACTTAGCGTTCATAGCTTTACTCTAGTATTATATCCACATCGTTGTCTTTACACAGACGCAAACACACTCTACGTTTAACGCAAACAACAAATACGGTTGCATGCAAACAAATTTCTCCGTCACGTAATTATTTACTTGCATTGCATCTTATGTGATAGCTGAACATAATTTAATTTAGTTAAAATCTACGCTTTACAGTTACACGTTTAAAAATCATTCTAATGTTTACCGACGAGAAATATAAAAAAAAAAGAATACACAAATAAAATTGATGCAACTGAAGTTGCGCATTGTTACATTTCACCGTTTTATTACACCGCAAAAGGTAACACATGTTTAATACGCGCGTAAATTATTATTACGACTGTAATTTGAGATATATGTTGCCGTCGTGAGCGCGATTCGTAAAAATGTTATGTAGCATATTTGTTTTTGCAGTTTTGCTCGTTATGATCGTCGGACAAAGTTCGTTAGCAATTGCAGTTCTTTTTATATAAACAAAATGTGAAAAATTTATTTCTTTATGAATATATTATACGATTGTATATCATAGTATAAATAAACTATATGAAACAAACAAATGGCAATATGACAAAATAATTGCGCGTTTTGTTTTTTTTTAAACGCAGCTTGTTTTTTATTTATTTTTGCAAAATTTTCGATCGAATTAAAAATATCATAACCGTAATGTAATCCGTAATGTAATCCGTAGTGATCAATTCATTTTGTTATACTACTTACAGTATACATTTTGTAAAATGGCGTTAACAGAATGGGAATGGCTGCACAGAGATCAAATGTGCAAAAGACTTTCATAATACGGCCAATAAATACTTATTATCCGTTAACGCAAAACAATTTAAATGGAATAAACGAATATTTATTAATCTATCAATACAATCAATTAGTTAATCTATTAATATCTAATGTAACTCCGCATGATTACACACGCTCGCAAGAGTAAGGTAATTATTTTGATCAATCGTTTTGAGAAGAAAGCATCGCGTGATAAATCCACTTTACGTGTTTATTTCAAAGCAACAAAGATAAATCAAATTACCAGTTGCATGTAAATAATTAATTTGATTGGCGTAAAGTCTCATTTAGAAAAACAATACGATAGGAAAACCATAATACAGCAGCGATTACATTTTCTTTTACGTGTTTAATAATTAATGCGTGCAAAACAGTATGAGATTGAAAAGATCGGCGAAGATAATAGTTATCGAGGCAAGGATTGACTTACAAAGATCTACCGCGGTAACAATCATGAAGTCATTACGTGGTAACAGGTTTTCCATTTTTTTCCGTTCGCGGATGGTAATTGATTGAAAAGGAAAGGAAATACCGGGAGCCGTATCTATGTCGTTAACTATTAACTGCATCATTACTCATAACATTTATGGACGGTGATTTACATTAATCATTCTCACTAGACATTATAGCGAACAGTGATATTATTTAAACGGACTAATATCATACTGTATTCATATAACCACTGTTATTTTGTTTTTGGCGCAAAACGCGTGAAGCAAAAAAACCCTTGATTTTTGTATGATCACATACTTTAAGATACGTTTCTTGGTAATTGCAATTTTGCCTGAAAAGTATTTCGCTACATTTTGTTACTCTTGGAGCGTGATCTTGGTTATGCTAATGAGATTTATCAATACAAGAATCGTTCACGAAGTGTACTTTATATAATTAAATTCTAAATTTAGTTAATTCTTTCTCTTTTATTTTATCTGATTTTAAGTTTAGAATCGCGATGTGCAAATCGCGATCAATTGTCGAAGAAGACAATGTATTTGCTCCATTGACCCGCGAATGCGTCAGACTCACTTTTAAAGATGCATCTGCCAAGATGGTCTAAGAATAGCGTAGCCTATAGCTACTTGCGCTCGCTCGCAGTTACTTTAAAACGCCCTTTTTAAGTTGCGCAATAGGGACGGAGAGGGGAAGAAAATGAAGTTCTTAACTCGGAGCAGGGTCAGGTAAAGGGAAAAGCTGGCCATTGGAAGCGCGGAGAAGAATCTACAACTTTCCTTCGGGGGGTTGCTATCGCGAACTGCCAGGTGATTCACCTCGCAAAACTTTGAGCAGCTGTCTTTTACTTGTTATCCGCCGCTGATCTTCGACCCGCGCTGCATCGGCGGGTCATTATCGGCTCGCATCTTGCGTTTACGTGGAATAGCAGCGCGACCAGATGTTGCCCAACGTACATGCACTGATACCGATTTTCGATTACCGCCCGTGATTATAGTCTCTCGATCGTATACGCGATGGATTAAAATTTTAACCCTACCGAAAAATGGCTGTGGGATACTTCCATTATTTTCTCATATGACGTACTATCTTAATAATAATCTCCCGTATCAAAAAATATAAAGTTTAATCCCCTGTCCGAAAATGGCTATCGAATATTTCGATTATTTATTTTTTTTTTTATATGACTTACTGTCGTATAATAACAATCTTTATAGTAAAACATATATAAAGTTTCCCGTTTTTAAATTAATTCACAGAACATTTGATGAAATTTCAGGCCTGGGTTTAGGCCCGCACACGCCGGAAGAAGCCGCCGTCCTGGCGGCGGCAGCCGCGGCATTACATCACCATCACCAAGGCCCCGGCGGTCCTACGATGAGGCCCCTGAGGCCACCGTTACCGCCGGGGATGCTCCACACGTCGCCGCATCCCCTAGCCGCGCATCATCCTCTTTCGGCACCGCATCATCCCCTTGTCCCGCCTCATCATCCGGAGGAGGACGGCGTCGTCGACGACCCCAAGGTCACGCTCGAGGGCAAAGAGCTCTGGGAGAAGTTCCACAAGCTCGGAACAGAAATGGTCATCACGAAGAGTGGCCGGTAAGTGTTAACGTCGTTGACGGCATCGTCGCCATGATTACGATCCTTTGTCGTTAATTGAACGATCGCTGCGAGAGGCATCCCAAGAGCAAATCAGGATGCCAATTCTACCAAGTTTCATCGCACCATGTAAACGTGTTATGTCGAACAGATATCGAGTAGTCAGAGTGTCCTTTCGACCTCAAATTTTCCCGTCAATGATAGGATTGTGATTTTGTTTGGAAACGCGCGGGCATGAATATAATCAAGGCGTGAATCGCCTTGGTTTATGTTAAAGCAGTTGCGAATTTGTGCAAATTCGCACTCTTTTCCTCTTAAGACATAAGGAAATTTATTTTTACTATTGATCGTTAAAGTTATTAAAAAGTAAGCTAGAATGCGCGCGTGATAATTTCTAATAATTTCATCGGTTTTTTCTTTCGATTAAAAAAATCAAATTTTTTTATATTTAAAAGAAATTGGTAATAGTGACTAGTAATATAAAGAAGCGCGTGGATCAATCTTCTCTTTAGTAAAATTAGACGAATAAGATATTTTTTTCAACAACTTTATATTTAAATTATTATGAAAATGCATAAATTAAAGAAAATATAAGTTTTTTAATTAAATATAATATAATTTGCGACTGATAATATAATTAATCTGTATTTTTCAAATTGCAAATTATATTTAATCAGATTTCAAATTTTTTTTATATATTACGAAAAATTTATTAAAAACTATTTTGCGAAGTAGAGAAAAGACTCATTTTTATGCAGCTTTTGGGTGTATGTACTGGGTAGAGTTTTATTGTCGAAAGACGTGTAGCTGTGAATAAGAACTCTCGAGTGAACACAAGATTCTAAATGAACACGAGAAAAAATCTCATGCGGGTTGTCTCGAGAAACTTATTCAATGTGCTCGCAAATGCACAATGCGGATTTCTTAAGCCTCTTTGTATCAAATTAAATACATTCTAAATTTCTTCGGTGAAATAAATTTTAATTAATGACACACAATGAAGAGACAATGGCGAAGTTTAATGTCTTAAATTAAAAACTAAGATTAAAAATTTCATTTACTCTAATTTCTAGATATCAGCGAAAATGTAAATGCGTAACGTATGATGCGTATTGATTTTATTATTCCTAGAGAAGCTTATCGCGAGAAGAAAGTGTCACTCTGGCGTGTGCATTTTTATTACACACGAATTCGATCGTGTGCTCTTAACGAACTTTTACTTTTCATTATTGCGAACTACGCTTGTGCCGCTCACGCAACACACACGTGTGTCCGCGTGCCCTTCCGCCATCTTCGTACACGTGTATGACGCGGGGGATTCATCCACGCGGTACTTTCCCGATGACGTGTAGCAACGCTGTCGTAAAAAAGATACCACTATGAAGTTGTTAGATCCCTTCGTCGTCAAGCAATTGAAACTTCTCACCTCCCACCACTCTCGATCCACCCTTTTGCTTTCTCTCTCTCTCTCGCTCTTTCTTCCTTTTCTTGCCCTTCGGCCTCTTTCTTTTTTCCTCGACGCGCAGCCTATCTCCTTCACCCTATTCCGCGAAGTCATGATCGCTCGGTGGTGGGTACGCGTCGTACTGTTATACGTTCGCGGCAAAGAAAATAGAGTCTGATGTGGAAGGCGGTGTGCGAGCAAATCGAGAAAGGGAAGGAAGACAGAAAGGAAGGAATGACGAAGAGCGCGAATTTCTTCTGCGGTGATAGGCCGAGCTGCCAGCGAGCGGGCGGGCAGGTATGTCGAGTCTGAATGGAGACGATGCTAAACTATAATAGCCGAGAATAGAGCACGCGCGCCCGCGACGAAAGGGTGAACATATATGCTTACATATTTTATGTGCGACATATACAGGTGCTAAAGCGCGCGCCCGCGTACGTGGATTATGGCCACACCGACGTCGGGTAGCGATGAGCGCGCGCGTGTATCAGTCGGATTAAATCTTCCTTTGCTCTTCGTCTTCGATCTTCGATTAATACGCTTGCCTCGGTTGCGCGCGACCGCGCGTTGTTTGTGCGCCGTTTGCTCTTCTAATTTGCGTCATTAGAGCCACGGCAAGGGGAGCTGCAGAGTTTGCTTTAAGGGATCACGTCGATAATACGAGAAAATATTTATCAATGTTGATTAGCAATGTGATGTTCTTGTAGAGAAAAAAATTAATGTAAATTCTTTTTATTCAAAATTTCCGAGTTCCATAAAAAGTAAAAAGTGCGAATAAAGTCTCGCAAAATTTAAATCGAATTGATATTGAGTACTATTGACTACTCTACGTCTAAATATCGTCAATCAAACTATCATTAATTTTATTAATGTAACAAGACAGTTCATAATACAATAGTGTGCGTATCTCAAACTGTCGTCCAATCTTAGTAGTGTTTTTGATAAATTCACTGCCGTTTAGTGTATGACAACTAATCAATCGTGATATTTACAGACTCAATTTGCAACACCGGAAAGCGGATTGAATATATAAAGGAATGACTGATTCAAAAGTACCGACAATATGATTAATTTATATATGTAATGACACACGTCGTAATGATCCGTTATCGAGCCGTAATAATTATCCCTCTTTCTCGTATGACAGCTGTTTTACATTCGAAATTTATGCAACGTTTCAGATCTTAAGTGCAACAAACCGCGTTGTGACACGCAAATGTCCATACAAGAGAAATTAACATTTATAGCAACAATCCTAATTTATCACACAATATAGATGCATTTATCTTTTGGAAGTTTAGAATTGACATAATCTAGTCGGATATTGCCCTTAAACGTTTTAAAGATAAATTATTTTATTTATAGCAGATGAAATCTTTAAGCAATACAGCAAGCTTGAGATCCATTAAAGGAAGATCCATTAAGTAATTAATTAAATAAGCGAGAGTGAAAATTTGTTATTCCTATTAAAATTTAGTGAAGATGCGTAAAGAGGAATATACTTTTCGCATCATTAACGAAACGAATAAATAATCACCGGCAACGATGCGATTAAATCAACATTGTTGAAATGGATAGCACTTAGTATTCTTATCAGAATCAAACGACCGGTCTCTAATCGATCTGAAATCGCGGCGCTCGCGATTCGAGTGGCGCGGCGCTCAGGCGCACCCGCGGCCGATCGATCGCAATCTCGAAAACTGGCCGCGCTCTAAATCAATCTCCATCGATAAATAATAACCGTCAGGCCTGATCTGCCCTCCCGTCTCTCCCGCCTCCGCACTGGCCGTAGTATCCGCCCGCTCGCGATCGGGTTTCAGCGAAACGCCGAGCGAGCGCCGCGCCGCGCCACGCCGGGCCCCCGTAACGGCCGATCATCGATAATTATACGCGTGGAAATTATGCCGTGGGCCGGGGCCCGCGCTCGTCGGACCCCGCGCTCGAACCCCGTCCGGTGGTCTACGTCTCAATACGGCGTACGCGTTTGACACGTTCGCCACCACACGCAAAGCGCATTTACACTTGGAGCGTGCGTGATCCACTAGACGTCTCTCGCCCTCTCCTTCTCTTCCTTTCTGTCGCCCGCAGCATTACCGTTCTACGTGAATAATTGTGCAGGGTGTTTCAGACAATATGCGAGATTAGGAAAGAATTTAACATTTAACAAGATTTTAATTATAAGCTATCTAATATTTAACATGTAATAACTTTTAATGTTAAATATCATGGCGATTAAAAATTGAATAAAATTTCGTTAGGAATAAAAGTAATTAAAAGAATGAATTTTTTTTAATGTCAATATTAATAATGCTTTTTTGAAAGTGCATATGCTACCGTTTTTCGACATTTCCATAACGTCCCACGCGTACATACACCCGCGCGGATAATGAGCGCGCAGTATCGTAGATGCATAATAGCGAGCGTGTAATGCCAAAGGGGGTATGCGGGGTGGGGCCGGAAACGGGTGGGGGGGTCTTAAGTATAGGGCTGCTTTAACGATGTTTGTTTTATACATTGGCAGCCTCTTCTCGAACCTGTAATCTTTCTAAACGAGATATTACCCGGACCCGTTGCGATACACAAACCCTTGCCCGAATGGGTCGTGCGGTGTGCGCCCGAGGAGCTCGCCTCATTCGAACAGGAAAGAAAGAGAGAGAGAGCGAGTGAGAGAAAGGGCGAGACGACGTACGGGCGAAAATTTTCGCTGCGCTCGTGTTCGCCTGCCTCGAACGAGGAGTCAGCGCCACGAAGGGGAGGCGAGAGAGCCGAGGCCCCGGGGCCCAAAATTGCCTCCCCTCCGCCTCCGACTGCCTGCAAATTGCCAGCCATTCACGGGTTCATGTACGAGAGCGCTCATACACACGCATGCCTGTGCGCGTGCTCGTGCCACGGTGCTGAATTAAGAGAGCGCCGGTTAAAACGAGATCGAAATTCGTTGGCGTCTCGGCCGGCGAAATTTGTGGTTTTCAGACACGACGAGACGGCGACTTGACACAATCGAGAGGCTTTAATTCGTCTGATTTCTAAATCAAATAAGCAGCGAGCGACTGCGAGCAAACAAAAGCGCGGGCCGTCAAAAGGACGCAAACCCATGAAATCTTATGTAATCAGTTTAACAGAATTCATCTTCGTCACTTTCAATTTCTTGGCCAACAGGCCGAGGCACGAGCCATCGTTTTCCGTGCCACTTTAAACATCTTGTGAAACACGAATACACTCTCGTACTCCTTTTTTTTTCCATTTCGCAAATCGTTGGATTTGAAGAGGAACCGCGCGCAATGTCTCTAGGCTCAAGTTTGCTTGAATTACAAAATATTGCCTTCGGGTATATAGCACTACCTCTGCTGTGTGTAATTTCAAATTCCAAAAAGAAAAGTACGCGAAAAAAATTGCCGATGTCTCGATAGTATCGAAGTGCATTTGATGGTTACGTATAAAGGTGCAGCATCACCTACCCTCCTTCGTCTTTGATGCAGCGTTCGTTTCCCCTCTCGTTCCTTCCCCTTTTCCCCGCTCAGCAGCTGGGCTCACCCCATCTTTGTCGCACGACATGCGT